CCTTCCCCTTTTTGTCTGCCTGACTTGGAAAGGTGAGTGTCTTTTCTAAACTGGATTGCAAATACATTGCACATTTTTGCACTGCCATCTGGGATTTGTAGTTTAATCCTGTAAATTCTGAATATGCCCAGCATGATGAATCCTGCTGGTTGCATAGGCACAAAACCAGCACATTCATTTGAAAGGCAGCTGTGTTTTAATGATGCCTGACTTGCCCATGATGGCCTTGGGCCATCTAACTGAACTGGTGGATTCTGAACACAGGCCAACAATGGCTACTTGGCTACCATGCCAAATGATGTTTATTGCACAGACAAGAACCCGCTCAAAATACTGATAGCGTTCAAAAATGAACAAATCATTAATGTGATTGCAGGGAGTGCTGAGATCATTACTAGCAAAGTAATCTATTTCCCCCAATGTTCTTTGTGAAAATGGAACAATTACTATTGCAAATAAGCTGTACTCTTCCTGCCTGGCATTGCCAGGCAAACAGCTAGGTGTTCAGTCTGGCTTGCCTTTCCATCATCCTTCCTATGCTTCTTGTGTTCACAAACTCGAGTTATCTCATTGCATATCAGGAAAATCAAGCAGTGAAGATAAGAGTTAGAGAAGGAAAAGAGAGCCTCAGAGCAGAATCCCAATCGCTGCTATGGATGAGGAGTCGAAAACAGATAAATTCACTCAGAGATAGAAAACTTCCTGCTAATGAAGAAACTCAACAGTACCTCATGGAGAACTTTGTGGCTTTGTGTTTGTATGAAGAACTGGAAGTAGAGGTGCCACCTTCTATATTGCCCCTGCTCCTAGGTTTTTAACAGAGCCCCTTATCTGCGTGCCAGGAAAAAGGGTCACATTATACATCTAAGTGAGAAAAAGTGGGAACCCTAACTGAGAATGTTAGAATGCTGTTGTATTTCTTCAATGGAGTTGTAGGGAGTGGAAGGATTTCTCTCTGAAGGAACCAAAGAAAGAGGAATTCCTTAGGAAAAAACAAGTTTGCTCAACCTATCGAAAGATATACAGAAAATGGTGGGCAGTATGGTATGGGATGTTTATGAAATGGTGAGTGGAATCACTGGCTGCATCCCTAGGAGGGAAAGATCCATTTCTACGAAATCCTAGGTAGATCCAATCTAAGCCTACTGGAATCAACTCTGCATAGGACTGCACTGCAAGGCTCTCCTGCCAAAGCAGCTAATCTTCCTCTGCTGCCCCCCCTTCACCCCTCTTAAAAGCAGGTAAGCAAAAATCTTTTCACTGTTTGGTAGGCAACCTAATGGTCCCTTGTGAGCATTCAACAGAGTAGGAAGCAGCAGGGAGACTTGGCAGGAGAAATTTAAAAATGAAACATCAGCTCAGTGGCAACAAGTGGCATGCCTGACAACCAGAGGCACGGGGGGGGGGGGATGAAGACAAAAAAGGCAGCAGCATGAGCCAGAGCTGCCTGGTAGTCAGCGAGGACAAGAGGGAAGGCAGATCTGCCTCCTAAGCCCCTGTGCACCTTCACCCCCATGTGCGCAAAGGAACGAGTGCTGGATGAGGAGACAAATAAGCTTCAGATGGGCTTGGGAGCTCTTTGTGTCCTAAACACAGTTAGAACATCTTTGCATAGATATCTGCAGCCATGGGCAGGATAGCACAGAGAGAAAAGGACAAGGTGGCCACCTACAGGAAGAAGACTTGATGGGGAGAAGATCCTTCGGTTCTTGCTGATGTCTACGATGGTGCGGGAAAGCCTGACTTCATGCACCAAGCGGCTCAGGCAGCAAACCCCGGACCTTTATCAAACAGGAAAGCTTTGCTCCCATTCCAAAAACAAGGCAAAACTACATACTGCTTCTGTGGAGAAAGTCTGTTTCATTGCAGTGAAATCTTATTTTGACTAAGGCAGGCCTGGAACGTGTGAGGGAGGAGGAGGAGGAGGAACAAAGAGGCACCCAGAAAACATGCCCCAGGACTCAGCGCCCCCAGCTCCAATCGAGCCCTTCCCTCCTCATAGTACGGCAGAGATACCACAAGGGACAGGTGGGGTGGTGTTGTGGCCCTGTGGCTCACTCATGGAAGGAGCGCCTTTTGGATGGCACAGTGTCAAGGCTAATGAGATTTGCTGGATGTGTTCAAGTTGTTTACCTCAGATGTTTACACGTTTAATAATTTAGAGAGGGGACACATTTAAGCAGACATCAAAAGGTAGCGTGCAGCACTCATCTGTCAGTGGCAGTAGCACAAGGAAAAATGTGATGGGCCCAGGAATTTGCTTCTCTTGCCTCAAAGCAGATTAAGGGGATGGGCATCTGCAGCCCTTTAGAACATGTCGCTTATCAATCCCCCAGACAGCCTGGTGATTATGCAAGGCTTACACAGCAGCTTGCGTTCAGTGTAATTTATATTGTCCAGAGATTATATTTTGCATTAGAATGTAGTTGTTTTCATGAGATCAGTTACTTCTGTTGAAATACTTTGGGGATGATCTGCACAGAGGAAGACATGAGCCCCAAATTGGTTTCCACCTCCCGTGGATTTTCAGATCCTGAGCCGAAGCAGAGAAATTCAAAGGCTTGATCTAGTGGTGCATTTAAAAAAGTTATTTATGCATAATTAGTTATGCCAGAATGTGTATGCACATCCCATTGCAGACAGCTCCTACTCCAGCAAGCGTGGAAGCCTACAGGGATCTCCTTTATTGGTTAGAGGTACTGGTCTGCAAACCATTAGTGAAGATTATGGTAAATATCAGAGGTCATTTCAGGGGGGAACGTGGGGGAACACAGTTCCCCCGGGTGAGGTGCAGGGGGGCGGGGCACATGATGAAGCCCCGCCCCCTGCTTCCGGCTGCCCCGCTTCCAGCCCTCATTCAGCCAGGAGGAGGCAGGAGAAGAGGGAGGGTAAGTTGCTTCCTCCCTGCCTCTCCCCACCCTTGCCTGCCTGGGGCCAGGGAGGGCCTTGGCGGGGCTTCCTTGTACTCCCGCTGGCCTTGCAGGTCCACCGTCGGGCTCCTGATGTTAGGGGGTGTGGCATATGCTAATGAGTTATGCTAATGAGTTCCCCTAGCTCTTTTTCTACGAAATGACCCCTGGTAAATATTATTTCCAGGTATTTTAAGATCCAAAGCTTCAGACTCTCTAAATAAATACAATAAATAGTGGTTGAGCCGGTCAATGTCTCATGCCTCCCCTCTTCTAACCTCTCTCTGTCTCTTTAGTGGAAGCACACTCACACCCCGTCTCCATTATCAGAACAGTTTTTAAGTGGTGAACTTAAGGTCACGGCACCCATTCACACCTTTCTAAGTTGTTAGTGGTTTTTATGAAATTTTTGTCTGTTGCTGTGTTTTCCAAAATTCTGATTGGTTGTTTATTCTAAATGTAGATCTGTTAACCTCTTTGAGTACCCATATGAGTGGATTAATGGCACAAAAGTGCACTAGATAAAATAAGTTCTCATGCTAATTATTATTATTATTATTATTTTTGCTAAACCAGCTACTTCATGATTCCTCTCCAAGTGCCCCCTTTGGGCACACTTTTTTGACCTGGTACATTTATTTGGTCACAAATGGATGCACGGGTGCAAGAGAGCAAGTCTGGTATTATGGGGAGAGGTAGAGGGGAAACAAAAGAATCCGAGTCCACTGTATGGGCAAAGTCTGGTTGGATGAAATGAGCCCCAGCAGCAGGAAGTGTGCAGTGCTTAACCTGGAGAAAGTGAGTGCAAAATTAAAGATTTGCAACAAGAGCCTTGCTTCTCTCCTACTCAAAAATATGCAAAAGATGGCAGCTTTTCTGCATCTGTGGCTTGCCTCACAGTTCCCCTCACAGCTGGGGAAACAGAGAATGACTTGCTCAGCACTACTCCAGCATCAGCCGAAGCCTAGAGTTAACTGTGGCTTCCTATGGCCACTTCAAAGAGAGAGACAGACAATTGTGTTATCTGAAAAACCCTAAAAGAATGTGTAGACTATGAAAAAGCAAACTGGACATGCACAAAATGATGTGCTCGTGCATATAAATGCGCAGATGCATTCTCAATAAACTCAATAAACCATGAAAAACATGGTTGTTTTTCAGTGTACACATAATTTTCACAGGAAGAAAAAGACACAAAGGGGTGGAATGCCGCAATGTGTGCCTGCACAGTTAACTTTGTGATGTCAGGAAACCCAGTCCATAACATTGGCAGGGGAATAATGCATATTGTGAGTGTGACCTGGAACAGGTATTCCAGAACCACAAAGTCCAGAGCAAGAGAATTTCCTAAGCACCCCAAGGAAAACAAGGGATGCAATGTAATACTGCCGACAGGTGGCTAAAGAGGGTGCCTTTGCCAGCGAGTGCTGCAACCTGCTCATGCAAAATCACTGATGTATGTGCATATTTGAACTTTGCGCTCCTGGATTAGGAGGTCTCCACTACCTTTCCCCACCCCTTTCTCCACCCCTCTCTTTATGACAGCCCTCCAGTGGAGCTCACTTGCTTTCCCAACTGGGGACTTCTTTCTCCCTGAGGCACAAAAAACTGCAGCAGATCAGCCACCATTGGCCTTACTGACCAGATTGCAGACTTCTGCTTGCAAGAGGGACAACTGGAATCACCAGGGCAGTCCATCAGAGGGCAGGGGAGGCCTGGGAAAAGAAACAGCTCAGCTCTCCTCAGCAGAATTAGCATGGAAGGAAAGGGGCAGGCAGTCAGCTTCCAGGGAGGGGGCAGGCAGGGGAAGCTGGGGAGGTGGACATCAGACTCACCATGTTAGAGGCACACTTTTCCATGGAACTTCCCCCCCCCCCAACAATAAAAATGAACAAAAACAAACAGGTAAGAAATTAAAGTTTCTTGTAAAAATCACAGTTTGGTTTGTATGGGGGAGAGTAAGGAACTCAACAGAAGAAAATTAATCAGAACAGAGAAAACAAATCTCTAACCAGCCAAGTGACAAGGAACCCCACAGAGATTCCTCCGCCTGGTTCACATGGGCAGAGGGAAGGTTTTAGGAGCCTCGTCTCATTGTTTGGCGATGATGCCCTTGATGGCTGACTCCCGGTTTACATATGTAGCCCAGTAAACCATATTGAAAATGGCGAACAAGACAGGAAAGACGATGCGGGACATTTTGTCTACCTTGCTGACACTGTTGTAGGTCTTCTTGTTCTCAGGGGGCTTCTCTTCCATTCGGGGCACCTTAGGAGGGACGACAACAGCTGCGGGCGTGGTTGTGGTGGCAGCAGCGCTCTTGGCAATGGTGGGCAGGCCTGGTTCCTTGGTGATGTTGAGGGCATATGTCGTCCCCACAATGTTATAGGTGTTGTTGGTTTTCTTTGCCAAAGTGACAGGCTCTTTCTTCTGAGAAGGAAAGGAAAGAACCTTTGTAGAGTGGCACGGTTGTATAGATGAAAGATCCACTTATATAAAGCAAGCAGAAATTGCTGCTGCTGTTGCAGTAATAAATCCTCCCAGGCCCATTTCTCACACTCCACTAGAAGGTGCCATGGTGTCTGCTAATGTGTTTCCAGGTGCCCACCAACTTCTTCAGCAAACTTTCTCTCCCCTAAAGCAAAGAGCCAGTCCTGGCTTTCCTCCTTCTCACAGGAATAGGAGGTACTTCACAAGAACCTGGGATGTATCTCCTGTGTGTCTGCCTGCCAGCACCTGTTCAAACATAGCAGCTGTTTCCACTGTAGTCAGAGCAACGGGGGGGGGGGACTGAGGGGCAAAATTTTGGGAGCCTAAGTCAGCTGGAGGGCCCCAGAAACCAGAATCCTGCTGCATTCATGGAATGCATTAAAAATTGTTTTCTAGTGCAGTTCTGACTGCAGCCACTAGGGGCACAGGGAAAGCAGAGCACAGTAAAAACAAACCACTTTAAGTCTGCTGGCTGGGCCTTTTAGCAAAGTTTATTAGGAGGCTGATGGAAGCTGTTTGCTGATCAGATCCTGCTAAACCCATCAGCCAAGCCAGCAGTGGAGCAAGGCAAGACCAGCCAGGACAAACTACAGTCCTTGTCAGGATGCAGCATCCTAACAAGGTCAGTCTATGATCTGTTTTTTCCTTTAGTTCCACCCAGTTCCTGTCACAGCCAGATCTTGCAAAGGGGCAGCCCTTACAGTGTATGGCAGCAAAATTTTAAAAAAAACAAAACCTTTTGTTGTC